TAGACATTAACAATGTTGGATGCTTGCTCAGCGGTATAGAGGTTAAGCGTTTGCCCGCGAGACCGAGGGTCCCATACTAAGTCGAAACAGCCGTCCAGCGCTTCCAGGCTCCCAATGGTGGTCTAGCTTAGATCGACTCATTAATTCAACTATTGATATTTAGTTTTTGGGCTGCATAGTATTCATGGTAGATATATAGCAGTATATTATGTTTAAACTAATGAGACTATATGGCTGAATCCATCGAATAATTTGAAAACGAAAACACTAATTTGAGATAAACCATTTCAAACGTCGGAAAACTATTTTATATGCATTTTGTTATTGAACAGTACACTGAAATAGTAGGCAAGAACTAAATGTCGTTCTGACTGATATGTAGAAGAGACAAAAAATAACTAGAATTTATCTCAGAAAGCCTCGACACCCGCATTCCAAATACTATTTCTGTCACAGTTTCAACTTTGAATATTTATTATATACACATGAAAAATGAGATACATTGGATTTTCCAAAAACAGTTTAAATAAATAACCTCCATATGTAAAAGAAATCTCAGAAAGTTATACAAGTTACAGATGATATTTATCGACTATTTTTAAAATAAAGACACGTAATCCCTATTCTGCCTTGACTCCCTATTGAAAATAATGGACCTCAAAATATCTACAAAAATAGTAAACATATTCATGTTAAAAATAAATCTAAAATTTACTTGTCTTTAACAGATTCTTAAATGTACAACTGAGAGTCACCATTAAAAAGTATGATAACATGATTTTAATGTAACACATACACAAGTTTATCTTTAAAATGTAATATGGTAAAACTGAGTAGAAAGTAGATTATGAAGACTCAGACTCAGCAAATTTTCAGAACACTTTTTTAATCACAATTACTTATCATCAAATGAAAACCATTTCAAAATTATTATCAGTACACTAACTACCAATGTAGTCTTAGGAGAAGAATGTGAATCGTTGCTTTTTTCTAAATAACAGTTAAATCTGTCGATAGATAAATTGTTTTATTTAGTGAGCTTAATTTATTTAGCAACGTACTGATACGGAGATACATGACGTGACTGATTATGATATTGATTAGGTTGACTTTCTAATAGTAACCAGATTGAGAAAGCAATACTAAATCTGATTGGTTAATTGTACATGTTACGTAGTAAAGTCAGACCAATAGTGAGTCGGTTAATTATAAATGACATTTAAAAAAGCTCATGTCAACAGTATTGATCAAATACTAACTGGAACTGTGATATACTAACTCGGGTCTGTTTTGATTTTTGGTCTACTATCAGAAACAAGATAAGTTTCGAAAATGAAATCCCTTTAATCAATCTGTACAATACAATGGGTAAAAGGTCTGATAACTGACTAATATTCACACATGAGAGTGAAGTTTGATTGTCAAACCCGTTTAATTGATGATGTACAATTTTTATGAAATAATATGTATAATTGAGAAATAATTCTACTGACTAACATCAAAATTTGGTTAATACATTCGTTGGAAGGAAAATATGAGCTGTTCTATAACAGAGAAATATAAGATTGATAGATAATTCCCATTTAAACATTAAAATTAAAACATGAATTTCAGCGAAGGGATCTCTTTTCAACGAATTTATTATCAAGCTGTACCAATCAATTCCTTTTCTCGATGTACGTCTGATGAGAAAGAGTAATGGTTCTTTAAAAAGATCCATCTTTAGAAAACAAACATGGAATGGCCAGCTAACCAACTTCTATAGCTGGGTTCCGTTAAGTAGGAAGAGAAACCTTATCCATTCTTTATGCTATCGCATACATCACATATGCAGTACGGAATGCATTAACGAAGAACTCGCATTCCTCAAGAAGACTTTGACGGAAAATGGTTACCCAGAACGGTTCATAGAAAAGAATATGAATAGAAGTAGTCGCGAGAAGAATTCTAGTTGTTCCGTTCCAAAGAAAAACCTTTATATAAGTCTGGAATTTAAAGGTGATCGAACATCAGACGTAATCAAAAACCGTCTAACAACAACTATTAGAAGAACATTTAACGCGGCAAAACTGCGAATATCCTTCACTAGTAGAAACTTATTTTCTGTATCCATAAAAGATAAGCTTCCGCGTCTGGTCGCCTCCATGTGCATCTACCAGTTCACCTGCTCTTGTGGAGCAAGGTACATTGGCCGTAGCCAGCGCTCGCTTTCAACTCGGATACGAGAACATATCCCAGCTTGGTTCTATAAGGGTGAAAGGAAAGCAGTTAGGAGTTCTATACTTGAACACCTAATCGACTATAACCATTCAACAGATCCACAAATTGACTTTAAGGTTGTTTATATGATTCGTTCAAATCTACCCAGATTTCTTCGCATCCAACTTTTAAAAATAGCCGAAGCTCTTACCATCCAGAAGCTTAAACCAGAACTATGCGTACAAAAGAAGTACGCCTTATCGTTACCTTGGCCTTAATTATTTTGATTATCCTATTATTATTATTATTATTATTATTATTATTATTATTATTATTATTATTATTATTATTATTATCACTGCATTCCCCTTTACTTATGTCTTATGTCCTCATTGTTATATTCATGAACGCTCATCATATCACTTTATTTTTTACACCTCTATGACCTTAATTATAACAAAAAGCATTTTAATCATCTTATTATATTCACTAAATCGATTGTTATTGTTATTATTCATATTACGTAATCTAGTATTATAACTTTTTTATTAACTGTGTTCACATTTCCTCACGGAATTAGTACTTTTACAAAAACAAAATTTTCATATATATACGATTGTACAGCTTGATAATAAATTCGTTGAAAAGAGATCCCTTCGCTGAAATTCGTGTTTTAATTTTAAATATAAGATTCATACGACTGATAATATTTCTGAAAAAAATCCTAACAATCAATAGAAAGGAAAGTGTTTACAAAAGTGAATCTTTGAAAGTGAGAAATGACCTACTTTAAAAGTATTGTGATAAAACATGAATTCTTCAGTCGTTTGGTTGGGATGGTATATACAATAATGTTACAAAGTTTAATATTAGTAAGTTTTCGAGAAATAAACGGGTACAGAAAAGAAGTAGGTAATTTGTTTTTATATTTACTCAGTATATAAAATGACTGGTTACTAAATCACTTCAAATAAGTTTTACTTTTATCTGAGCTCGCTGATGAAGTTTGCATGATCATGGGGAGAATTTAAGAACATGTTCGCAAATAGTATGACAAGAAGTCTAATCTATAAATAAAAACGCTAAGATACAAATACCACAACCTTTTTATGGTAGCATAAAACACAATTAGGTGTTTAAGATCATAGTGATTATTTTGTTGTGCCATCGGAGTAATTTATTATGGATGTATAACAAAAAAATAGATTGCACAACATTTTGCAGCAAATATCCTCAACAGACTCAATCTAAAATGTTACTCATCTTTCCACTGAAGTGGACATCAGCATTCAGAACGTAAAAAATGTTCTATAAGAATTATACTTTTATGTACTGGGAGAACTACGCCATTGATTGTATATGCATAGTTTTCATGTGTAAATCCAGTGCATAATGGTAATCTAATTTGTAAAATTAAGTTGTATAGAAGGACGGTCGTTAACTTTTAAGAATGATCAGGGATACTTTTTCAATCACAGCTCTTGGTAAAATTAAGGTTTAACGATTGGGTCTCAAAGAACAATTGGTAGAAGACCAGAGAGATAAATCACAGGACTCCAGTTCAAATCTGAAGGCTGCCCAATAATTCAACTTCAGCTGTTATCCATGTAGATATCAGTCAGCATTACATGTAAGATATTTACTTAATTTTAAAATAGGGAATGTGCATTTCACTAATTAGATCATACTAAATCAGAAGAGTTTATTAATCTGTCAAGCTATTTCAGTTTCGTGATATCAAGCACTTAGGACAGTTTTGTTTAACATACTGGTTCACTGACCAATTTTATTTCTGGTGATGACATGAAAAATTATTTATGGCTTTAGTAATGCCCATTATAAGTAGACGATTAGTAAGTGTATTAATGAATTATAGACATAACACAATAATATAATTAGTTATGAATGCAAGACTTTCAAATGAATAATACTTTTTGCTTAGATTACTATTACACTCTATTCAAGTAAACAATAATATTTATATGAATACATTGGAAAATATAATTAACTCAATTTATGAATTACCAACCAAACATAGAGTAGACTGAGTAACTAATTGTAATAAATAGGTAGTGGTTATGATAAATAAAACGTTACAAATACAATTTGATGACAAAATGACTGATATTGAAATTCAGCCATGTAGAGAATGCAAAAAAGTAGCGCCACAGTGCATAGGTTTGAGTTCTCACATTTCTCAGAATCATTAAGATAGAAAATCAGTAAAAACTAAAACTCACCAAAGAGAAGAGATCGAATAAAGTCTTCTCGACCAAAAGAAAATAGAATATATTTTCTAATCTTTGACAAATCTAGGGTTGTTAAGGTAACATCTTTAACCCTTATATTCCAGCATTCAAGTTAATGTAGTCAGAGAAAACAACTGTTTCTCAGAAAACTCTTACTAAAAGCTGATGCCTACATGAGTTATTATAAACTTCTAGGTTTTAATTTATATTGAATCTCAACTCAAAGTAAAACTACGTACTTTTTATTTTTAAATGTTGATAACAGATACACTGAAAATAAATTTCAGGTTTATCCATTGAGAGAGAATTTTGCAGCACTCGTGACGGAATTCTTTTTCTGTTCGGAATAATTACCGTATAATATGCCACTGAGTCTAATGTTACCTGGTTTTTGGATGTTTCTTAGTTAATGTCGCTTAATGGTGTAAGTTACCTTTTAGTTATGCTAAAACTCCACAGAGCCGCTTAAATATATACCAAAGTAAACGATTTTTATCATTTTAAACATTGAAAACAATATTCGAAAGTATACTTAAAATATAATTTACTCACTACAACAGTCGGTAAAACCACAATGTGCGCTAATTTTTTAAAAGTTCCAAAAGCACTTAACCAAGTACGATTAACCGTTCGAACCACATTGTCACTCCACTGGTATACTTGACTGAGAATATAAGAAAAAAAATATAGTTATGATTGATAGAACAAAACGTTTATTATTGTTAAGCTGAATATTGTTCCTGATTGTAGTGAACAAGAACACTAGTGGGGACAATCGAATGTATTTAACACAAAATTACAGGACTTGTTAATAAAATCTAACAATCATATAGTAAATGCTTAATTTGCAAAATGTCCATCAATTGTCCCAAAATGACTCAGACTTCATTGTTGTTGCATTTTCATACAAATTACATTGTATTTTCATTCTTTACTATTCGATCCTCTTGTCTCTCTGCTGCCAGACCTTCTGTTCACGACTAGCATTATATACTACTAATGTCATTATATGTAGCACACACCACATGATTAAGTGACTTGTTAAAATTGCAACTTTTGATTTTTACATGTAGGGACATATATTGAAAAATAACCATTCATCATTTTGACATGTTTTACTTTCCATGAAAATATACTTAATTTTATGACTCAAAATGAATGGGTATTATTAATTGTAAGATAGAACGTAGCAGTCTTTACAATGTTTATTTAAAATTAGTTCGACATTAAGTTAAACTATTTACTAAACAGCAATTTCACTCTTATCCATAATTCAGAATATCAACATTGAATTATAAGATAAATCAAGCTCAGATAAACTAATTGCTTAAGATTTGAATCTATCAAGCCAAAAAAACTGAACGTAATGATTAATTATAGAAAAAAAAATTCTTAACAAAAACCTTAACCAGAGTAAATCTAAAGTGTACCTATAAAAAAGAATGGAAAGGAGTTGATGAAACAAGTTTTAGAATTTACTTTGTATGTAAATAAACTTTTGTTAATATATAAAATTTTAGTATAAAAAACTTGAATTGTTTACTGCTAGTTTAGTTGAAAATAATTAATTTAGGGATATTTAGATTGTAAGTAAAGAAAACAATATGTTTATTAAAAGTATAATAAAAACAGTATTATTGTAATAATTGACCATTACTCATTTTCTTAGTTTCTTAGCACACTTTTTTTTTGTAAATTAAATGAAATCATCTAGAGGTTGTTTTTCTTTTCTTCTTTTTTGATTAATTTTCTCTTTATTTTAAAGATGACTATTTCATACATTAAATTATTTGTATATGTAATTTGTTTATTATTTATATGAGATGAACTAATAAATTATCCAAATTATACTACTATTGAGTCGATAATTTTTTTTTCCATTCAACAAAAAAACAAAATTAATAAACAATCATGAAATCATTTATTTGAGAAACAGGGAAAATTTTGTGTAGAATTACCCAATTTTTACGATTATAGTTTGTAATTAGTTGTCAGTTATAAAATATACAACTAGTGGATCAGTCGTCATTAGAGTAAATAGTTAATAATAAAATAAACAATTATGTTTGAATTAACGATAAAATAATGATTTCATTCTTTCCAACTAGAACATCTTTATTTACAAATCATCTAATGATATTAGTGTTAGTTATTAAAACTGATTACTGTATAATTCATAAACATTCTAAAAAACGTGTTCTGAACTGGATTAACAGTTGAACTGCCAATAACCTTCAAGAAGGATCAATGTAATTAACGAAACTTAAAGGTAAAGTAAATATTCCAAGTTCTACTCTCAACCAAATACAAAATATCCTGATGACACTTAAGATACAAACATTTGAATGTTTATAAAATGAGATTATTTACTACCAGAACTTAGTAAACTAAATTCAGTAGATTAAAAACACTAGTTATACTTACCATTTCGTATCATGTAACCGAATATATATATATATATATATATATATATATATATATATATATATATATATATATATATATATATATACGGTAATTTGAATCAAGTTAAAAGCGAAGTTGAATCACTGTAAAATTCGAAATGGCTACTGAATGAGCTACAAATCGTAGTTTGCAAATCAACGTCCAGTTACACTTTTACGAATGCGATATAAATGAAAGATATATTACGGTGGATATTTGACCAAACTAGTTATATGGCCAGTTCACTGCTTTCCGATATGCCACAAGTGTAAATCACAGGCTGATCATTATTTGGACTATCGGTTCACAGTTGAATTTACCAGTCGATCTAAGCTAGACCACCATTGGAAACTTGGAAGCTATGGGACTCCTCAGCAGTGAGTATCTACGACCCCGCAAGTGGGGGGTTGTTCAATTGACCGATTAGGGTTCATACTTAAAAATAGCAATTAAATTTGAAAAATAATCTGACTTATGACAAAAATTTGATCCATGACATCATACACATTTAAACTCAAAGCTTAGCCTTATAAAAATGCAAACTCATGAGAAAACTTGAACTTTATCTATTCCACTAATCAAATACTTAGATGAGTGGATTTTCAAATTGTTATTTACTGAAAAATTGTAAACTCTGAGTGAGTATTTTTCCTTCGATTCTTTGTTGCTAGAAAACTATGGAAATTGCTGATCAACATTTTTATGTTTAGTTGAAGGCGATAGAACTAATTACCTAAGTTATTTGAATTTAGATTTTTATGAGATAATGATAAACGATAAAACTATGATTATGTGACCTTCGTAAACCACCTAATTATTTCTAGAGCAAGTATTATACTAGAAAATCAGGAGGTTTATTAATATTAACACCGACAAATGTATATACATTTCCCGCAGACATTTTGAGTAACAGGATGAGAGATTAGATTTTAACAAAACAAAAACATACCCGTTCTTTCCTGAATACCAGCCTAGTGCAGGTTTAAATGTTATTGGATCACGTGGTGTTAACGGTCGATTTTGTTTATCTCTGTAGAATGCAAACAAACTAGTAGAGAATCCCTACAAAAAAGTATAAAGCTTGAAGTCGAATAAGGTTAAAAATCAAGTAAATGAGGATAGTAATCGAAGTAAATATATGAACTGTTACAAGGTTTAATAAAAACCAATCAAGACAGCCAGAACAGTGTCGATCATAAGTAAAGAAATTTGAAAAGCGTACTTCCATTTGAAGTTTATGCTGATTTTGTATTCCAGAAAAACGATGGAGGCTTCATGAATAAACTACTCCATTAAAAAAGTTACGAAATATCGTCATCCTTAAAGCACTTACGTTATTGTTAAGAAGGAAGTACAGGCTCCATTCATATTGTTCAACATAAAAGTGATGACAAACAGTCAGTCTTACTACTGAGACTCATACCAACATGTAATGTTGAATGAATGTCCCAACTTTTAATATAAATGGATTAGAACTTCGGATGGTAATGTAACTAGTTAGTGTTCACAATTTAACACGAGAATCTAAGTAACACATAACTCCTAAATGTAGATAAATATGTTTCAGTGATAATGACTAACTTCAGTGACGGAAAGATGTTCTGAGGATTTTTTAAATTGTTTTTACTGAATATCAGAGGCCAAGTGGTTTGAAATTACTCTAATATATTTAGAATCGGAGACAAACTGTTTATAAGTTTAACAGCTATCAAGCTTCATGAAATAGCTTAAATCCATTTACATAATAATGAATGATCGCTTACTAGTGAATGTAATATTTCATGCGTAGCAACAAACAGTGAACGCATTTTATCGTTATATTCATTACTTAATGTATCAGGACAGAAATTGATGTAGCCAGCCATAGGGCTAAAAGAAGAAACAAAATAACGAAAATTTGACAAGACAGGAAAAAAATATAGCCTTTCTACAAACTAATTTCGAATTTATTAACAGAACATTTAATGGTTAATAGATATTATTTACTCGGCTTTTAGACATTCCAGTCGAAAATTAAACTGGTCACAACTGAACAAGTGGATAAAATAAAACCTCCTATGTTATAAATTTCGCATTAAATGAAGCATAAAAGCAAGTAGAAATAAAATAAATGAATATGAGCTGACTGTCTTAGTAATTTGGCCAGTACATAATTTATTAGTGGAGCCGTGACTTTGTAGTTATAGCATTTATTTATTAGCAAATAGATCTCAGATTCTCTTGCAATGGTTTCTGTGGACTGTTGGTATCACAAAGAGTGAATTGAACTGAAGTAGATGAAATTGCACACAGTTACTGAGATAATATCAATTAATTAAAACATTTACACACTAACTAACAGTCAGGCCATGACCAAAATAAGGGTACTGACCTCGGTAGTAAACTAATTCTACCTATTAACAAGTGAATTGTAGCTTAAAAAGCTGTGAAAAGATACAATAGTACCCTATGTTTTGACTTCAGTTTGTAGAGTTAAAAAGAAACAAGTCTGTAATTTTTTCAGTACTCCCTTGGGTCTATCTCGACACTGAATTCGAAAATCCAATATTGATATTCATTAATATAACAGCTTATGTGACTAAGTCAGTCTATGTATGGAAGAATTAGGGTACCATAGAATAGTTATTAACGGTCTGAACAGAAGTGCATCTGACGACGCTAGTTCGCATTCAATCACATGGTTAATTTACGAATATTCTGATACAAAAAAGAACACCGGCTTAAGTGTTCATAAAAATAGAGGTCAAAGACGTCGAAGAACCATCATATTTGTCCAATAAATAATCTACATGCACTCTTTTAAACACAGTACAGTAGATATTAAAATTTCATAGAAGGAATTGGATGCTGTAAAAACTGACATAAGATGCTTGGTTAAAACATTAAGAATTCAGAATAAAACATGATTATATTTTTATAAAAAAGTTAATCTACCGATCAGTATTAGCTTCTAGCTGACAGTGTGCAGCATAACCTAGGACTTTTGCAGTATTACATCTATGTGTTCTAAGCGATGAAATATAGAGTATGAAGTTGGCACGGTATATACCTTCGCCCTTGTGACCTGAAATCATTGAGGTTCCATTATAAATAAACCTGCACTGCTGATAAAAACAAGTGAAAATTTTCAATAAATAAAAAAGGCTTTTTACATTTAAATGTGACACTGGAATGTTTATAGGTCCACATTTTGTCCATTCCACACACCCATTGACACAAAATGTCAAGAGTTGATTATCAAAAGTCATCAACTTTGTAGCACCATCAACACAAACTCTGGAAACACTAAACGATTAAATCGCTTACACTTACCTGTCAAGTGTTAATCTACTGGGCACGGTATGAGACTGACGTAACAGTAGAACATTTTCCCAAAACTCAATTGCTACTTCAATTACATCTCTCTAAGGAGGGATATATCAGTTAGGCAAAACCTACCTTAATATCCTGGAAATTTTTGAGAGATTTAATTGACCTATCATAATGGGTATGAATTCTTAATTCTGTTTGTGCATTACGACGAATAAGTTTTTGCACATTCGAAGACACCACATGAGTTACAACTTCAGAGTGATTTATCATACCATGGTGACACATTGTAGAAAAGCGATCACTTTTCAATCCACTGATAATAAGATGAACTCCAAAAATCGGCAATAGAATAATATCTTTTATTTTCCACATAACACTTCATCTAAAGGTTATGAATATGTCTGTCAGAATTGGACTGAACTACCTATCTGAAATTACGGGATAAAGAGGTTATGAAAATAGAACCAATAGTTAATTTAGCATTGAGAGCATTGAGTGGTTAGAAAAAATAACATTATTCACTGAGACTGAAATTTATTAGACAAAAATCCGTAGGACCATTGTGGTTTGGATGGTTTAGGGACTAGATATAACAAGACCAAACTAGAATTTGTCATTTCATTAATAAACTGTGCAGTAGGAATGTTAGTGAGAGGAGTGGCAATAACTCAATTAGGAAGCTCCACATAGACAGATTTTTGATCATTCGCATAAGATACCATCGGACAAAGAGGTCATAAATATACACTCAGTTCAAATAGAAACTATCAACTGCCTATGCGTAAACCTCCAAAGTTTGTCCACTAGAATGAGTGGGTTGCGGGGATTACATAAATCAAATAATGTTGGTCTCACAAGCGCAACAGAAACGTGGATAACTTGAACAATGACTAAGAACTAACCATAGTTGGTATGTCCTTTTTATGAGACTACAGAAATGTGGGGTCCTGCTCTATACTTCCTGCTTAGAGGTATTTCATCTAAACGCTCAAGGGTTTGATTGCTTCAACGGATCTGAAAGATTGCTTAACACTAAAAGGTGTCTGATTGGAATTATTTATTGAAAACCTATCGCCGACACCAAATGAGACAACCATATATATATTAGTACACGAGCACATCTGAAGCTTAAGAGAATTCAGTCATTTAAAGTCAACTTCACTAAATATGTACATTGAAGGAATAACCAGGGACCATCTCTCTTAGTCTGGATCTTTACTAATGAAACATTTCCACTTAGTAAAGTGATTCTAGAGTTTTTAAGTAAGGTGACATACACTCCAATCTTATTCATAAGAATCAACTAAACCTGTGAACAATAGATGATAAGATTTAAAACAATTGGATATTTTTAAACAGGTACTCAGTTACCAGTGGTTCACTAGTTTTCATATTTAAGTAGACACAACTTCTACTCCTTAAGAGTTGTCAAATGCTCGAATTTGCTGACGAGCGAGCTAGTCCAAGCAACTTCCCAGGAGTCCGTTAAGAGGTAACTTGATCTATTCTTAAGGACTAAGGATAGTATCACACTATGATTTACTAATTTCTTTTCCTCTTTTATTGTTAACATACCTAGGTTTCTGCCTAGAGGATTTGGTGATCTCCTGCTACTTGACACGGAAGCCTGTCAAGCGAAAGCTTCTTCTATTCCGTCCACAACCATTTGAACCATTTGAATTAGATACTTAACGCCATGATAAATTGTTGATTTTTTCATAGCTCAGGTATCTTACAAAATGTTGCTTTTTACTGATGGTGCAACATTCCAGAGGAAAATCCACAACAAAAAGGGAAGGTTAGCAGTTTAGGGGAATCTGACACGCAGCAAAAGTTAGGAACACAACAGAAGACTAATATGTAACTTCGAAGAATGTGAAGTAACCTATCTGAATCACACTACAAGCTACATGTAATACTTAAATAATTCTCAGCAAGAAGTGTCCTTGATATCAAAATACTTAGGTGTATTCGTACTTTAAAATCTAACACAACATTCCAGTTGTGACAAAAATGACTTTTGAGTCAAAATTGTACTAGAATTTTCGAAGCATGTTCTCAAGTAGTTTTATTGCGAAAATATCTTGTTCGGCTCTGCATGGAGTATGAAAACAGAGTTTTGTCCGTCACTCCGAAAGGATAAGAATATATTGAAGGATATCTTAACTCGGTTCACAAGATTGGTTCGTGGTCCAAGACGATCGTCTTGGCAGTGGGTACACCCATTGTCATCTTCTGAAGTATTGGGGTTTAGTCTTAACGCAAAACATATGGGGAACATTGAAAATTTAGATTCGAAAAAGGTGTACTTTTAATTTTCATTGGTAGTCAAGTTTTGTGATTCCCTACTATGCAGTAGGAAATCCATCAAGTACATAATGAGTAGTTACAGAATGTCAGGAAAAATAATATATCACATATTTTAAATAGAATATTTGCGACTAGATGTGAAGGATTACTTGACAAAGAACACAAAACTAAGTCTCATTAAGATATGCGTAAACATATAACTATACCTGTAGTGCCGAAAATATTGAAATTTCGCCACAATTCGGAAATATATAACTCAAATGGTCACCTAAAATGTTATTTGAATTGGTTGTTTTTGATGTTAGGGTTCAGAGAACTAATTATTGTAGAAGTTTGTTTGAAAGTGTTTTTATTGTACCCGTTAAATCAAATCTTCAAGCACGTGAGAAAGGTGGATCGTTGAATGTCCAGAATGTTCTTATATCTGTATGAGAAAACATGGTATTCGAAAAGACTGGGAAAGTTACCATATCCGTAGTTGGGTATCCAGGCTCAGGAACGGATGTTCGTCAACATGTTGGGAAATCTTGTCTCATAAACCGTTTTATGGCCCCATACAGGTTCAATGAAAACCACTTGTCAATTTTAAGTTTGTCAGATTATGATAGTGAAGTCATCTGTTCAAGCCACTGGCTATATTGGGGAGACAGTAGTGTGAATGTTAACGGCTGTAAACTACATATCCAAATAATTGAGCAGTGTGACTTTGTGGATGACCATCTTTTCCAACCTCTTTTCGAACCCAGACCATATGCAGAACGATGTTTGGACTTTAAAATCACCTTGCATTCAAGAAAGTTGTGTTACGTTTGTAAGGAGCAGCTTGGGCATGAGTCGGCTTTTCCGCAGGTTTATCTTGAACCCACCACTTTATTTGTAGATGTCTTTGTATGTGTATATGACATGTCATTATGTGGTCCTTCGGCTCTGCAACAGGCTGCCTTCTTAGATCATGTCATCACTCGTCTTTCGTCTCTTAAGTTTCCAGTGGTTGTCGCAACGTCTAAACATGATATGAATGTTTCTAGTCAGGCCTCAACTCTCTTTAAAGATACACTCAGTGGATGTAAAAAACATTGGATGAAAAATCTGTGTATCGTAGAAACGTCTTCACGCCTAAATGTAAACGTCAAAACTGTTTTTCAATGTGCTGCAGTTTTTGGACATCACAAACGTGCTAATAAGTACAAACTCCATACTGGCCTTTTACGTTGTTCACTCAGAAAATCATCCAACGAACGCAAACCGTTCCCTATGTGTTTCGGAAAGTCAGTGTGGTAAGTCTCGTCAATAATTGATTAAACTTTGTTTCATAGGTGATATGGTAATTTATATGTTAAGTCCTTCCATATTTCATTTCTCAATAATTAACCGATTATTGGAGACTGTCAAGACAAATAGTAGTTCAAGGAAAGTGTACCTACTTACCCAATAGTCAAAATATTGTCTACAAAACCATAAAGCTTATTGTTAGTTCATGTGAATTGATCTTTAGTGGTGTCTGTTTATTACTCTAAAATATAGTATGGCTATAGTGTTTGCTACTATCACTTTACGATTTAATCGTATAGACAGTCAAAATTATTAAGCACATCGGCCCTTAGCATCAGTGATATTCTTCGAAGTGTTTGTTGGGATACTGTTAGTTGTCCATGTTAGTATGGTTTTTTGTTATCTTCAAGTTGTTTTAAATCTACACAATTGATTGGCACACAAATAAAACAATAGTATTTTCAAAAGGCTACGTAATAATTTCATGATTTCTTGCTTTGATCTATTTAGGGGCTACTATCGTGTATCATATGTTACGTTTTTGTGCATTCTAGCTAATGGAATGTTAATTTTTTAACGTTTTAACCTAAGTATGCGATGAAGGATAATGATTACTATATAGGCGGATAAAATGTAATATTCCTTTTCTCAGGTGTTCAGAACTTTTAGAAATATATTACGTACTCACTAATAGTGAAAAAAAGTTTTTCTACAGGCTCTATAACGTTCATCCCTTAGAACTTTGCTTTTGAGAAAGGTGGAAATAATTGGTGTGATCGTTTCCATCAGGTTAGTAGATGCGTGGGATCCATCTAAGGGAATTGGAAAACCCCTATCGTAAACCAATGGTGCACATAGGCTCCAGGATCCTGAAGGAACAAATGGTTTATGAACCTATTGTTGTCCACCGGCTAGCATGAGACTATCTAATGTCACTCCACTGCCTTATGGATTAGACCTTTAGGTCAAAGGCTCGGGTATTGGCCCCTTAAAAGAACCTCCTTCGGTTAGGGCGCTCGGACAGTATTCCAGTCCTTACACAAATCGAATTTGTGTCGAATAGATATTTGGTGCCTGCTTGTACCAATATTTATGTGTTTTAATCGATAAACGTTAGTATACCAATAGCCTTCCAAGCTGTCATCGTTTCTTCAACAATATATTTATCACCATCCTTGAAACAGAACTAAATTTTCTCGTTTTGAGCAAGTTAGTGGTACTGTTTATATAAAACCACCTGGGCTCATTAAAGACTAAGTATGGCTTCCTCGGAAAAGGCTATCAACCATCTACCATACGAAATGCTTTTATGTTAGAAATAATACGTACTATAGCCCACATAGTGGGTGCAAGAATAATTTTAGTTTAAGCATGTCATCAGTTGTTTTAAAATATTGATGTCCATTATGTTGACCAGTGTACGCAAAATATGTTAACAACTGAATACCGTTATAAACGTTACATATCAACTGTTTTTACACTTGTTAATATAAAAACCTACTTGGTTTATTTTCATATTTACTGAATAAGATTTCAAACAAAATATTATGCCTTATTTGATTATAATATGTGGTAATATTTTCGAAGCCTTATTTGGTTATTCATATTATTTCAATATGTCAGATTAAGTGAATAACCAATCGCGAGATTATAGTACTCAATATTTCCATTGTAGTCCCAAATATATCTTATTGCTAATTTAAACTTTTCGTACCTTTTGGATGTCTTAAAATCTTTACTCATGGAATCTCACCGCAGTTTCCACATTAGTACCTCTATTTACTTTCATATTTCTTCTAGGTCTAGTATACGTTGGGTTCAATATGGTACCAGTTCATGTGACACAAACGTCCATTCGATTAGCAGCGAATCTCCAAATGTTCGACACGTATCTTATTTTCCTCCACTTGTACAGTCTCTCACATTTCCTAAACAGCATAATAAACTAAGGATTCCTGGACGAATCATTTTACCACAGGTTTGTTAAATTAATTTTTACCAATAGTTTCGTCGAAATTGTTATGCCATGTTTTCTTGTTGCTCTTATCATTCTTAATAATTTCATATATTAGTTGATTATCATTATTTTTTTCAACAAATATTCTATTAATATCATGTTTCAGTTGTTCATCTTGTATTTTCGACTACGTTCTAACCAATACTCACATTTTTCTCAGTTTTGCACTATGTTTGTGTAGTAAGTCTTTTTATTCATATTATGTATTATTATAGCCTATTATTCATCTAACTACCCAGTAATTAATTTTCTACTAAAGGCTTAGTTATCGGTTTGAAATACGCAGACAGTCTAGTCCGACTAAGGGAAGATACTGATGTTATGTAGTCTTCTGATCTCCTTGACCGACAATACAAGCATGCTTAGAATGCGTTTCCCTCCTTTTAGGTGCATATTTTTGCTTCAACTGTCCATTTTATATTACTACAAGACTATAAAATGTGGGCTATATAAGAGAAGCGTGTGCGCAAACTCCAGGTTTTGATCATTTATTTCGTCGAAGCATTGCTCTTGTATAGTGAAACGACCAAGTAGGCAGTATTGTGGTTTTACCCAGAGTACTAGGCGATGGTAAACCGGTCGATACGATGTTGAATCTTCAACTAGGATAGTTTGGACCTGTGTTACCTATGCCTAACCATTGGCTACCTCGACGGTGGATGTTAGCTGATGTTGGAATAAAGCTAGGAGCAACAAATTTAAGACGTGACACCGGTTCATGAACTTGTTGACCGTTAATGTAAACCATATTGGTAAAGTCAGACAATCTGGTTGGGGTCTGTATGCTAAAAACGATTAGTGGCTGGAGTCGTCAGGCGATATGACTCAGTCGCGATCGTGCAGGTATATTCACTCTTTGGTTTGTGCTACATATGAGGTCCTAATATTATTTTATGCATACCTACCTGTCCTATCTTTTCAAACTTTGTTCCTGATGTTTGATTTTCATCGTTATAATTAATACTATTCTATGTCGACTCCTTTACTATTTATCTCCCGACCGTTGTTGCTACCTTGACGTGATGGTTGGGCTTGCCTATCGTGATGAAGCGACCGAGCTATACTGGCTGGAACAACCGTTCCTCAAGGTCCTACCATGTCAGACAGGTCGGTTGAAGAGCGGTAAGACTAAAAGCAACAAACCCAAGGTCCGAAGGCGAAGTCGTACTGCTGACTGTACAGAGGTGTGACAGCAGTAAGGTGTTTCCTTCAGACAACCAGCATGACAGCGATGCTGCCTTCCCACAAGGAGGGGTGGGGTTAGAAAAGGTCGACCCTAAAAATGCACACCTCGCCTTATCCCACGGATATCCGTCTCCGGCGGTAAGGTCTCAACAAGTACGGAGCTAACACAAAAATTACTCACAAAAGGGTTGTGTGTGACCGACCTCAAGCAGTTGTCCCTTGGGCACTGCGGTCACGCTCCCAGGTCACTAAGACCACCTCTAATCCAATTTCCTTTTCAGGTACCTCCAGAAAACCCTTCCACGGTGTGGGCAACCGGGAAGTGATAACCGCCCTCATACCTCTAACAGCACTCAAGACCACTGTATTCATAATCAACCTCCTCTTCAATTCCTATTATTCCTCCTACATCGACTTTCAACTCTAAACTTCCTCTTTCGGCTTCCCCTCAAGTGTCACCATAGCCAACGATTCTAGTGCTCAAAACACTGTCCCAGGTCTACTGAAACCTCGCTCCAAACTACACATTGGAGCCTTCAACGTACGCACCCTATGTCAAATCGGTCAGCAGGCTTCCTTGGCTAAAACCCTAGAGTCTCTTTCCATTGATGTATGCTGTGTCTCCGAAACACGCATACAGGATCCAGTGTGGTCATTCACTTGACCTCACCTCGGCAAAACGGAGAGCCAACGAGATACACCCTTCGTGTATCTGGTGACCCGATGGCCAGTTCTCGTGGACTGGCAGGTGTAGGCATAGCACTAAGCATGAGGGCGAACAAGCACTGCTAGAGTGGATCCCCGTCAACAGTCGTCTATGTGCTGTTCGGCTAAACGGCTCCGTAAGAACTCGGAAGGATAGGGACACACGTCGTTGCCTTTTTGTCGTTTCTGCCTACGCTCCCACTGACTGCAGCTCAGATGAAGTGAAAGATGAATTTTACAGAAAGCTATCTGAACTTCTTCAGAAAGCTAAACGCTCAGACATAGTACTCGTAGCAGGTGACTTTAATGCTCAGATAGGTAGTTTAAACCAAACAGAAAGGCATTTAGGTGGATATTTTAGTATTCCGACACAGCGAACAGATAATGGTGATCGTCTGCTGCAACTGTGCTCAGACAATCGTTTATTTTTAGCAAACACAAATTTTAAGCATAAGGAGAGACATCGTCTAACATGGCGACCCCCTACACCAAACCAACGATGGACTCAAATAGACCATATTGCCATCAGTCATCGTTGGAGAGGGTCGGTAGAAGATTGTCGCTCATTCTGGAGTACCTGCTTGGACTCCGACCATGCCCTAATACGGGCACGCATCTGCTTGCGCCTCACTGGACGCAAAAAAGCCACATTAAAAAGACCCATTAGAACTGAGTTGAGTAACGAGAAAACCAAAAGTAGGTTCCAGGAACAACTGAGGTCACACTTAGGTAGTTCTGAAAACGAGGCTGACCCAGATGTTGCTTGGAAAGCATACAAACAGCTGTGGAAACAGCAGTGACATCTATTAGTGACTTAAACCACAGAGTTACAAAGAACCAGTGGATTTCTTCAAGGTCTATCACACTGATGGATTCTCGCAAACTCGTCCCATCAGGTTCTGAACATGATGAAGAGCGAAACAAATCAGATCTAGGTTAAAAAAAGTCTAAGGAACGACCGTGAGCAGTGGTGGGCAACGAAAGCAAAAGAGATGGAAAAGGCGGCGACTATAGGGAACACAAGACAGCTTTACAGACTAATAAAAGAAACTGGAATTAATAAGTCAAGTGTAAGTGAGATTATTTCGGAAAAAGACGATACTCTCATCTGCTCCCAGTCCAGACGTTTAGAACGATGGGCGGAACATTTCAGAGAACAGTTCAGCTGGCCTTCAGCTACTCTACAACTACCCTCCATTCCCAGACAGTGTGAATGGAACATTGAAGTAGGTCCCCCAACTCTTGCTGAAGTTCAAAAGGCTATAGTTAATCTGAAACGAGGAAGGGCAGCTGGTCCAGATGGATTGGCTCCAGAGGTCTTTAAGGATGGTGGTCCAATTTTAGCGATTAGGTTGACTAATATTTTAGCTAAGATCTGGGAGTTAGACGTTATCCCATCTGACTGGTCGCAATCACTTATCGTCCCAATATATAAGAAAGGGTCAAAATCATCCTGTGACAACCACAGAGGGATTAGTTTAACAAATATAGTATCTAAAATACTAGCCTCGATAATTATCAGACGCCTAACTAAGACTCGTGAACTGCAAACACGAGAGAACCAAGCTGGCTTCAGACCTGGTCGTGGCTGCATCGACCACATATTCACCATTCGTCAGGTTCTAGAACACAGGCATACTTATCGGCGTCCGACAATGGTGGTCTTTCTTGACTTAAAAGCAGCATTTGACTCTGTAGACCGCGAGATTCTGTGGCAGTGTCTGTCATTGAAAGGCGTACCTCAGAAGTACATAAACCTTGTGAAGGCTCTTTACTCGAACACTACTAGTCGAGTCAGAGCTTATGGCGAACTGTCATCTACTTTTGCAACCTCAAGTGGTGTCCGTCAAGGCTGTCCACTTTCTCCATTTTTGTTTAACTTCATCATAGACCTATTGATGGAAATAACATTCTCGTCGACTGAATTCTCGGGTATTGATCTCCTTCCAGGAGGTCCACTTATCGACTTAGAATACGCAGATGACATAGTCCTGTTTGGTGAAGACGCTGACAAAATGCAGAGTTTTTTGGTAGCACTAAGCAACAATGCCAGAATGTTTGGAATGCGCTTCTCTCCCTCTAAATGCAAGTTGTTGCTTCAGGACTGGTCTGCGTCAACACCTGAACTAAGGATAGGGAGTGAAGTAGTCGAACGCGTTGACAACTTCACTTATCTTGGAAGTCTGATCAGCCCTAATGGGTTGGTGTCTGACGAAATCTCAGCACGGATTCGAAAAGCTCGCTTGGCTTTTGCCAACTTACGTCACCTATGGCGAAGGCGAGATATCCGTCTATCAATAAAAGGACGAGTATACTGCGCGGCAGTCCGTTCTGTTTTACTTTACGGCAGCGAAACATGGCCATTAAGAGTAGAAGACACTCGTAAGCTACTAGTATTTGACCACAGATGCCTTAGAAATATTGCTGGGATCACCGGGTAAGTAATAGTGAGGTTAGACGCAGGGTATTAGGGAATGGTGGTAAATCAGTTGATGAGGTTATGAATCTTCATCGACTGAGATGGTTGGGCCACGTGTTACGTATGCCTGAACACCGATTATCACGACGTGCAATGCAGACTAGTGTTGAGGATGGTTGGAAGAAAGTTAGGTGTGGCCAAACCAAAACGTGGCATCAGTGCTTGAAGTCACTAACTTCTAGTCTGAGCCATGTTGGTAGATGCAGACTACTTGGTTGGGGTCCGCGTGACTATCGTAACCAATGGTTGGAGACTCTTGGTGACATGGCTCAGAATCGATGACTATGGCGTCGGTCTATACACTCTCTGTCTTCCTTTAAACTATGAGATTCAAATAGCTCCATATCTTTTTTCTACGAACTAATTCTTTCTTCCTGTACTATATCCTTATTGCAATCTTTCCTTTATATATTACCACCTCTGAATTAACTAGTTTTATGAATCCGGTGTCCATCTTTTTGCGTTAATGAGGTATGGCAACTTGGACCGATGCATATATGTGCCTGGTCCTACGTTGTAGCTGACTGACTGACTTACTGTTTATCTTGTTAATTTAGTCTCATAAGATTAAAATTGTTTGTTTCGTTGTGGTTTGATTATTTTATGTTATAAGTCAGCACAACCAAGTCTAGTATAGTATTTGTATATCTATTTCTTTTAGTTTATCACTTTCAGCTAATTATAGCTACTTATAATTCCTAATTACGTATAAAGTATTTCCATGACTTCCAGTACTCATTTTCGGATCACAACATTTCATCTCATTTTTTCTTCCGACTTGTCTTACTAAATTCATTTATTCTTTCTAATAAGATGATTGGTGTAAACGATCCAAATATTCCTATCACAAAACCCAGTTCACCCTTGGAAACGAAAACCTATCAAATGAACGCAAGTCTATTTCCTGATACCCATTTTCCTAAAAACAGTTCTTTTGTTCAAGACATAACTTTACCAAAATAAGTGATTTATGTGATCTATCTGTCTTACCAACTCCTCCACCGCCTCTTCTTCTACCTGGTCCATGCAGTCGAAGTTCTTTTGAACCAATCAATTCATCTTCCATTGAAACTCGTAAATCAGTAGCACTTCTCGCCAAATGTCCAGACTTATCTCATAACATTCCTGCCGGAAATCCGTTTGTAAAAATCTATGTACGTGGGCAAACAGAAACCTCTAATTGTGCCGCAGCAGCAATGCGAGACCTTTGTCCATCAGAATTCTACATTGATAAAGTAAGTTGATATCAACGTTGTGTTATGAATCCATGATTTTCAAACCATTCCTTACAATATAAGAATTACTTTAGCGTTTTTGTCGGCACTATTCTATGAATACTTGTTATATAAAGTAGAATGATCAGACAAATTGTGCAATCATGTTCATGGCTAAAAATGAACCGAATTGTTTGAAAAAACTGTTTCCATAGTCACTAGGCTATTTGACATCTTTCTTCACATGCCTTTCTGTCAAGTTGATGTTGACTGAAACCGAAACAAAAGTTACTGTTTATACCACTATAAACCAAGCATTCCTTGTGTGTAAAATCGTAAATAATCATCAAATTTTGGAATTTTTCAGCAAGGACATTATAGATGAGTTGAACTTAAAAATAAAACATTTATCATTCAACTTATACAGGATTATGCTTTTAATATATAAAGACTTCCTTTTGTGTTGCTGTCTGGTGGAAATATGAATTATTTATTCACATGTTTCCTTGATATACTTGTTCTTATCATGATACGATCCTTACATTAGAATTGTAAAATTTAGCTCAGCTGCATCAACCTACGATAATAGTATTTCGACCTATATAGATAAACTTTATATCTGAGTATATGATACTGCATGTTTTTTAATCATTCATCTGTTTATCAGTTCCTGATAACTCAAACTGTTTCTGAAAAACGAAATTGGTTATAATAATAAATAACACATTTGTTAAATTTACTTGCAATTTTTATGTAGTCTTTAACAGATTATGTATATGAAGCGTTTACTAATGATTCGTGTCCGTAAGTGTTTTATGTGTAAATTTTGAGCTAACATACGTTTAGAAACAGACAATTGTTAGAAAAATACCATTGCAGAGTTAAAACACATTGATTCAAGTTGCTATACCTTACAACAGCCGCATAAGAAATCAGTACAAATAATAGTTATTAAGGTAAGTCGAGAGAAGGAAGTATTGCGGTTTTCTCAATTAAGAACACAAAAAGTGAATTATTCTCCACTGGTGTGATCAACTTTTAAATATGCCATCTTGGATCTCTACTCACTTATTATTAACACTATTGCAAAGACCACAAAAATTTCTGAACCTTCATAAGTCATTCAAGCAAACAGTCAGCGGCTGCACTATCTACTTATGTTTCCTAAGCGGGCTTCTTTTAGTTTCTTTCTAATCTAATCATCTTCCAGTCAGTATTGTATCTAATATTGCATATGGTTATATCGGCGCTTGTAGTAGGTTGTCGCGTGAGACAAATCCTCATTTTACAAAAGCCAATGTAGCCACAAAATTGACGTTTGACTATAACGGGTAGCATACATGGTTGATAAATGGTTGTATAAGTACTGTGGCGACTTAAATTAATTATCTATGGTTCTCAACTTCTATACAGGGCTTACTACTCATCGACGGCTGTCTAGTAAGCTCTGTTTCTACTAAAATTTTGTTTGCTGTGCTACGTTGTATTTGTTTGTGATGGCATAAGTTCATAGTTAACCAGATTGCGACATCTTTTATGTGATATAAACATTGCTGTTGTGAGGTATCTGCTAGCTAAATTTAGCTTGTTCGTTTTGTGTTCGCTCAATATGTTCGCCGATTATATACAAAATTTCTAAAAAAAGATTTAGATGTCTTGTTATTTTTTGTACCTGAGTTTGTTAGAAATTAAATATGATCAATTAGTTTGATTTGTCAGCTTTCTCTATTTAATAGGAAGCTTATAATTAACACTTGCACTCATGAGAATACAATATATATATATATATATATATATATATATATATATATATATATTTCTAAATTACTCTAATTTATATAACACGAATAATGTAGTTTGTCGATCCACTTTCCTATTTTTCTCTCTACATACATCGATAATTATCTTCGTAGTTATGTCTAATTAGTTGTGACAATTCCACCTAACATTTAGACTTAATATGATCATATATTCTCGAATTTTTGTGATTTTTAGAATCAATAAATAATATGACTAATTAGTGTTTATGCTACAAATTTATTTATTATAAAGAAACAAACAAATAATGAATTAACATAAGTTCTTCGTCACGTAAATTGTTTTGGGCATGTCATGCATTTTTCTGTAATGAAATTCTAAAACCAAATACCAAGTTAGCATAATTATGCTTTCTACAATGAGAATGTGGTAAACTGATGATTTCTTAAGTATATCCTTAGTATTTTTGTATTTTTTATTCCAAAATGTTTTGATTTTCAAGCTAAATGGATATAATCACACCAGATGTTTAAACATGGCCACATGTGTCACAAGTCAACATTATTTGTATTTGTTAGTTCGAAACCGTACTTCAGTTCGTTTGACAAGGCTGTTTCGAAAGATGCTTGTTGGAAAGGAATGCCCTTTAATCACGTCCATTAACATTTTAAAAGAAGCTTTGTACAAAATCACTTCAAAAAGACTGAGCGCATATAACCACCTCCGTTGTTTCCAACGAATGTGGGCATTGTCTTCCCAGTTTTTGTGTACAGTACTACACTATGGTATTTGATCACACTTAGTTCTTTACTATCAATTACCACAGTTCATTAAATTTTGTTAAGCTGTTTTATTAATTTTGCATCATATATTTACGAAATTCATTGTGTATATTACTGTTTTGTGTGTAAATGCAAACATGACTATTTATTCTCATTTGTTCCATTTGCCATTATTCAGTATCACTCAATAAATACCTTAATCTTCAAAGTTTTATTCCATATAATCGATGTTTTTTGTCTGATCACTTAACAAAACTTCTCATAAGTATGTAGTCCATTAACGGTCCCTTTCAGTTTATTCAATAGGTATTACCTTATCTATATATATTTTTAAGTTGCATTCTTGTAGTTATGTTCGTGGATTACATTAAACTTTAAATTGTGAATTGACTCACAGTCGTTAGTTGATTAATATTTTATATTCACTTGAATAATCTGTTAGTGTAGAGTCGGGAACAAGGTAAGTGATAGTTGAAAAAAGACTTCAATTTATGCTTTTCACTAATGTTATTCAATCTGCAAAAACATAGAAATCATGATGCATTTGTGCCAACAATGTAACTTTTCAACTCATCCGTCCTCAGTAACCGACATTTGTTTGCATTGTGGGCTTTAACCTAAAGGCTATTTTTCTCATATATTCATCAACTTCGTAGATTATTAAAAATGAATATTTATTTGTTCAATTCGCTCCTTATCATTGTTTTAAGACGGTTTATCCATATAAATTAGGTTAAGATCACAATCCGAAGTATTTTAATGACTACTAGTCTTTCATCATGAAATCGAATACTCCGATTATTGAACAAGTAGGTGTTTTTTCCTCAAACTTACTCATTTTCAGAAATGCAGCGTGATTACCTTCAAACTAGCAATCTGTGTACTTGAAACTAACCATATTAAGTTTGATTTACAACTTTATCATCAATATTAAGACTGTGTTTCTGTTTTCGGTTACTTTCTTCGAAATGTAATTCACCATAGCTTTCTGATCAAGTTCAACTTTATATCATTATAATTTGTGTGCAGACACATTTCATATTGATTTTCTTGTTTGTTTGTGCTAGTATGTAGTTATAAATGTCTACTAAACAATTTGTTGCGATTTTTGTATGTATTCATTTCGAGACGCCTACACATCATGACCTAAAGAAATACAAAACTGAAAGCACCCATACACAGATCAGGTAACACATTGGTTACTTGAAATATTTTTAAAGAATTACTCAGAGTAAATGCTTAACCCCAACATGTAAATTCTTGTTTTATTAATATATATATACTCTGTCATAGTACATATCTTTAAAGTTTATATTTAATGTCATGACTGGCAACCGTTAGTCGACAATTAATTAAATCCTTATCTCATACTCACTAGGATTTTAAGGTTTGATGTCTAACGTTCTGTTGGGATATTCAGGAAAATATCCCAGAAATTATTCTATTAAGTCTAATGCTATTCTTGGACTTGGAGATGGTATTATTTACTTATTGGTCAGTGTTTATTTCACGTGTCATTTTCCTACTGGTCAATATTGTACAATGTTATTTTCTATTTTATGGCACGATGTGGTCTGCTTGATTAGTATATAAACAAAGTATGTTTGAAATATAATGATTCATATATCCGAGGCTGAAACTTGTGTTCTGGACTCAACTGGCTGGGCTAGACAGGGTAAGCGGGACCAATCAGAACCCTAGGCCGTTCTACGTGTTTGTGCGTCTTTGGTCCGATCAGTAATTCGCTACCCTTATTCAGCAGCATTATTTTCACAGTTATAACACGTTCTAAAAATGTTATGAAGATTAATTATTGAAAAACAGTTAAACGAAAAAATATCCTTCCGAATAAATTTTTCATCCAAACTTGATCTAATTTATGATTACATCATCATCTAAACTGATAGTATTACCTAAATTTTTCAGTTATATTGACATATATGTTTCTAGCACCTGATCATCCATACATTTTTGAGTCCCGAAAATTCTCTTTACAATCGCGGAGTTCATCGTTTCATTCCTTACTTACATCATTAGGGAGTTAATAGAGAAATAAATTATTTGATGTGTTTCACATCAATTTATTAATTAATTGAACTCATGTGCCAACTGGTTCATACACCTATCATTTCTTTCTATTGAACAATGTATTTCTCGGTTTCAAATTGAGTAATCCCTTTAAAAATGATACGTCTTCACTTATCATTTGCCTTATGTTTATTTTGTCTACTTTATTAGACTGGACGTCAGTTTCGTGTCATAATTCTTTCAAATTCTTCTAAAAATCTTCGTAATCAAACACCTATTCTCAATCCTTTGCCATTCTACTCAGATCCTCCTAATCGTCGTCCAAATGGTCTAACCATTCAACCCGTTCATATGTCTCTGACAGCATCACAGATGTCAGCGTTCTCTGCCCCGAATAGTAGTTCATTGGGAAACAATGTTGGTACTGGTGCTTATGGTAATCATAATAATAACAAAGATTGTAGTCCAATTGTTGATTCGGTACAGGAAAATCTAACGTTAACACCATTCAGCGTTGGTAATTCAATGCCTCCAAGTTCTTTCCAAAGTTTTAAGGCTAATCACTTGAATACTTTGACAGAATATTGTGTTTATTTATTCATATACACGAATATTAACGAGCTTTTAGAATGTTGTGAACTAATTAAACATGAATCATCAATTTCCACTGTCCAAAAGCCGATAAAAGTTTTGGCTTACTTATACTGCAGTAATTATGACGCACTTGAAGAAAGAAATGTAATCCTCTCTGGACTAATGGCTTCATCGCGGTAAAATAACCACTTTTTATTTCGTATATAATTACCATTATTATATCAAATTATCTATTAATTCTTTTGTCTCTAGTGATGTTCATCTTTTGTAGTAATTGTGCACAATATGCAATCAATGTAACATTTTTAAATGTTCAGATGTTGTCGACATTTTGTACCTTAAAACTGATAATAATAGTAGACGATGTCCTCGTGTATTAATTCATTTAACCATGAGTTGTATTCCACCAAATCGTCCCTGTCATTTTAAGTTCGATAGACTGTAAAAAGCCCCGACTAGAAGTTGCAATAGCTGGATCTAGTCATCTAAAATTTCAGAAAAGGCTAGGCCGCTTTTGTTAGAACTCGTCTTTATTTCTTCTGGAATGGAGTCAGTGAAACTACAAAATTACGGTACAGTGTATTCTGTTTCTTCCCATTTCGTATACTACCACTCACTCATATGGCATCCAACCGACTTTCAACTTCAGTCTACTTCAGTAGTGCACGACGTTTTGAACCCAATGCTATGCCTACACCTGTGAGAATATTCATTTGCTTAGAAGTGAATAACAATGTCTGGGTCCTTTATTGAGGTCTCACAAACCATATTGATTCACGATACAAGATTCTAGAGTTTTGGTTAGTAAATCCTTTTGTGCGATCTTGCATAACGTACGAAATCGGGAGGTTCAGTGTGTGGTTTAGAGTATTGTTTCCTGTAATTAGGAAAGTTATTTTATAACATTAGTTGCACATTCTGAGGATGACGCTAATGGAGAAGGGTTGTTAACAAAGTTGAGTAACAAAGATTTATAGCGTCCTGGTTAATCTGAAATATTTCCGTATGTATGCAAGCGGCTAAAGCTTCTCCCTTGTTTACATCGCAGAAAAATATTTACTTTAGAACGACTTCCCAAATTGGCCGAATGAGTGTCAAGTATCTCACAGACTCGGGAGCTTAACTCTTTAAAGCTAATCAAACTATTCCTTTTTGTAATTATTCACTTTTAGTTTTACCATGTTCTCTTTCTTCAAACCTCACCCTCCAACACCGAAAATCTATTTCAGTCGGTGTGTGATGTTTTTAAGACAGACATCTTCTAGGACTTGTGATAAAGTAGCACAATTGAAAATGATGGTTATCGGCGGGAAACTCTTCTTTCGCGACAGTTTACTATTTTCATGAGTGTAACTTCCTTGTCGAGTTCGTCGCTGTCGGTCTGAATACTTTAAATCACTTGTCTGAAACCGTAAGACATTAAAAACGAGTTTTCTAGCTAACAAAGTAGTCACACTAAGAAAGTTTAAACATTTTGTCAAGTTAGTAATAGCAGTGGTTGATAGTTTTGACTCGACCACAAGAGCGGTGTATTTCGATATGTACTTTGGTGATAATATTGAGTATTACTGATCAAAAGTGAGTGGATAACTGATTAGTATGATCAGTCTTTGGACATTAAGTTTGGTTCATAACCTAGTGTGTAAAATGTGCACGGTCATTGAGTTGCATCATATTCTACAGTTACATAATAGAAACCTTACAAGGTTTAATCCAGCTTGAATTGTTTAAAAAGATCATCGGCGTTAATATTACAAGTTTTTATTATCTATATTTTGTCCTTTATTTCCCTCTAGTTTTAGAATACCTTATTTGGCTGTAAATTCTGAATCAGTAGCAGTGTTTCTGGATAATCTCCTCTACTTAACAACTAATACCCAGATAGAAAAAGATCAAACAACATATACTTCCAATTCTAATATTTCTTTTATTGACTGGAGAAGTTTCATAAATGTTGATTATTTATCCATTCTTACAGAATTCATTTGTCTATCAGAAAACTTTATGGATAAGCTAATTACAGAAGATAAATTCCAATTTGTCGGACTATTAACAGCGTTAATCCTGTCAAACTGTAATATGGTATCCGGTTGTACTGATTCACATAGTACAAACCGCAAATTATTCTTTGTACCTTCAACAATTTATCGCGAAGATCCGCAATCGTATTGTAAAAGTAAAAAGAATTCCTCATGCATTTACGTGCATTTTGTACAATTGGACGAAGTAAGATAATTTATCGTTAGCCTATTGATATTTTGTTGTTGTATAGGGATCGATCCTGTAAATGTTAGTATCTACAGAGAAATTATTCAGTCATCGTTTATTTTTATTCCATAGAGTTCATACTTTAGTTCTGTAAACAAATACTTGCTCATATAAATATATACGAGAAATGTTGAAATTCTAACTGATCTCTAAGCTTGACTTCTCTGACACTTTCTTGTCTGTGATTCTCACTCTTTATGCGTTACCAATCTCTATGGGTTCCACTGCTAGCCACCATCCATCTTTGCTTATGATGCTCGTCACAATATCGAGGCAATACGCACAGTATGCACATACACCAATAAGAGACTGATCAGTTGGAGTCCTGAACATCGATGGGAATATTCAAGCAAACAATACCAAGTGAATTTAACTCTATGTTAACTGTTTAAATAAGTATTAAGTTTAGTCCATAACCTGTAAATAATAAAAGCAATATGATTAAATGTGAAAATTATATTAATGTTTAATATTCTATCCTTCTGCGTCACAGAATATTTTAGGTTACTACACCAATTTTGTTATTATTCGTCACATTGTATTTAGTTATATCTTGTATTATTACATTTCTAGGTTATTGAATCCGTTTTATGCCAGTCTCCTACGTTCTCAACGGCTTATAGTCCTCGTGCCCTACTTATCCACTATTCTTCATCTTCCTGGTCCGAAGTTGGAATTGATATTGAAGATTCTCTCAATAAACTTTGCTCTGCATTTGATTTAAATACTTTTAGTGAATACAAGTTCACTCCAGTGATATTACTTGTCGCGTTTCACTCAGGATCTTCTCAACAAATCCCTGTAGAAGCTGAAGGCATTATCCATGGGTTAAAACTTATTCAACGCTTAGCACATGACTATAGTTGCCCACTTCTTTTACCATCATCAGAATACGAACCAGTGAAGGTACAATTTAGAAAAAATTCAATCTCTTCTGGTGTGTCTACAGAATGTGAAAGTGACCACATCAACATGTGCGAAAATATTCAGTCTATAAAAGATAGTGCAAAATTTTCATTGGGTTTTTTATCTGTTTCTCGGTCGGATGATGTAAGAGCTGGTGCGTTTTCCGTCATTCTTTTATCTTTATGAACGTTTGAATATTTTCATGGCGGTAATCAAATAAATATTTTTGTCTAACGTATATACTCATGGATTATCTGTAAACAAATAAGACAGATTTGTAATCATCGTTCACCCTCAAATAAATATCTAAAGGATATTCAATAATATAAGTCTTTATAATTTTAAAGATGAATGTACTTATCCTAACGATTACTAGGATTCTACCCTCGTTGGTTTTTAAAAACTTAGCTTCCTAGTACATGCATGTTGAATCAGTCGAATCTCACGATTTCACTATACCTCCAAAGTTTGGAATGTGATTGGCGTTGCTTTCACTGTTATATACTAACATATAAGTTGTTCAAACTGACCAATGTGTTTCGGAACATGTTCGCTCAGTTGCATTTGTTTATACTCTTTATATATATATATATATATATATATATATATATATGTATATATGTATATATATATATATATATATATATATATATATATATATATATATATATATATATATATATATATATAATTATCTGTATAGTGTTTTGAATATTGTTTAGTTTTTAATTGAGATCATGAACCGATCATTGTTAGACCACCATTAAAAACCTGGAAACACTGGACGACCGTCTCGTCCTAGTATGGGATTCAGCAGTGCGCATCCCTTTTGTACATATTTAGACCTAAATGAGTCTGCTGAATCTTGTATATACTGGTCTTTACATAATACTAAGAAAATGTTGATTTTGTGTTATTTGCATTGAGTCTGTTTTCTTTCTTTTTTGCTTCTCTCTCAAAGAACTGTACAAACGCATTTTTGACGGAGAGTTCAGCAGTTGGTACTCTAGTTTCGAAATGACTAAAAATCTATCTGATAACTCGGTTTGTTCTAACGTCGTTGCCAATAATAACAATTACTTCTCAAACACACACACATCAAAATGTTCAACATCCTCAAAAAGTCCCACCGAAAAACCACAATTTGCACTTGATTCTCAACATGTGAGCTCTATCTGTTCATCAATCCTCCATAATCCACCAAACGATGTAATTACACTTCCTTGGCTTCCTCTTAGTCCAACTGATGCATTTAGTTTCCAGAGTTTAAGGTCACTTACAACTCAAAACTCTTTTTCTAGAACTCCTTGTCTGGAAACTACTCATGCAAATATTATTCAAACACTTGACAATCATAGGCAACTGTCTCGATCAAATATAGTAAGTTAGCCCAAATGTATTCATTTACTATTATTAATTTGCCTGTTTGTCCTCGAATAAGCTGTGATAATAAATCCTATTGTCTTGCTTCTCCTTTTTATATTTTTAATCATCCATTTAAATGTTTTTGTGATTTATAATTTTTTGACAATTTCAGTCCAATAGAATTTAAGGACTTCACAATATAACATTTTTGTGTACAAAGTATGTTTATACGTTGTACGGTATCGTATTATTTAATTGTCTTGAGATCATCATATCTTCTTACTTGATATTATTTGACAACTAGTGGTTTCCATTCTATCGGTTATTATCTAGAGAAATTCTTGTAAGCCTTTTATACTCTTATGACAAGTTTTATTATTTTTTGTATTGTCATGTACTCAAGTTGAATAACTGGTAATGGACAGGTATGCTAAACAGGTTCACAACTTACTGACATATCATGAAAAAGTCTAGGTACTGTCAAATCACTGAAATGATATTGTAAAAGCGTGAATCGTCAAATATAGACCGTTGTTAAACAGAGCGCTATGGTAGTTGTAACGTACATACTTACCGCATAAAAATGATTTGACGAAGAACTTTAGTAGTAAGTGGTACCAAGATTGATCCTGAAAAGCTTAGTCACCCACTAAGTATGCCTTCAAAGCAACTCTGTTATTTAATGATAGCATCGTGAACAGCACAATCAAATTCATACGTGTGATTCAAACACTGAATCGCTGTTCGTGATTGTGCATGTGAAGTTTACGTGGTACTGTGTAAATTTGAGTATACGTCTTAGTAAGCCTTAGAATTAAGCAATCTTTGTTTAATACATAATAACTCTGTTTGAAGCTACTCTAGCAACAGGTTATTGTCAATTATTGTTCAAGAATAGTTATCCTATGAGATGGTTATAACTCGCGATAATCGCAAGGGTTGGAAGAAAGTTGGGGACGGCCAGATCAAGATGTGGCATTAGTCCATGAAAACATCTGACCGTTGGAATACATTGCATAGATGGGTACAGATTACCTGGTTGGAGTTTGCGCAATTATTGCAACCGATAGTTAGACTTTGGGTGATATAGCTCAAAATCACTCACAATGCAATAAGTCCATTCACTCCGTATCTTCCCTTACTTTTTAAGTACAAAGCACAAGCCACCATTCAACAGATCTAACACTAAGTTTCTAAAACTACCTTTTCAAAATCTTTTATTCAGCTAATCCATATTTTTTCCTCGAATTGCATATATACCTCATCGCTTATATTACCACTAATACTGTTGCTACCTCTAATACTCTACGGTTTCCCTTAAAAATTTCTCGCTTTACTAATGGGGCGTGACAACTTGAACGCATCCTCACATGTTCTTAGTTCTAAGTTGTGTATGACTGACTGACTACAACTAAATTAAACTTTCAAACGCTCCTTCATTTTTACCTTGTTGAAAATGCCTACATTTCAGCGCAAAAACTATTCCTCAAGTAGGGTCGATGTTACTTAGATTCTATCGAATCTGTGTGATGTACGTTTTTGTATGTAAATCTAATTGCCATTTCACGAATTCAGTCATAAGTTTTAGATTTCATAAATTCCATGTTTGTTTATTTGAAATAGCACACAAAGAAATAATGTTAATTCACGTATTACTTTTGGCATAATTCATTGTACATAGTCATTAGAAGATATTTGCATAACTTTTTAGAATTCTTGTATTCTTCATCCTTTGGGTTACCGTAGTAACCTCTGTGTCATATTCATTACACAAGTTGATATTCCATTCCATATAACCCATACTTATTATCGTCTGAAGGTTTTTGGGTGCTTGCTTAAATATTCTTCATTTTTGATGTACTCTAAATGACATTTGTTCAAGTACACTAGATTACCACTGCAAAGTTATGTATAGATCTTTCTTAATTGGATTACTACTTATTTAATTTTCTGTTTAATATTTCTCTTGGAAAGCTCAATTCTACAGAGTGTGGTATCTTACCTTCGACAATATGTGAACAAATGTGTCAGATGTCTCAGGCTGGTGTATTTTGTTCAGTATGTCCACAGTCATGTTCCACAGCTGTCCCTTTACCCAGTATTAACTCTTCTGTAGAAGAGTATTACGCCGAACTTCCCAAAGTAACTCAATCAGTTGTAAGTATATTTTCTTCCTTCTTCACTGTTTATTTTTTTGTGTACATATATCGGACAATGAATATTACCTTTAAATGTCCAGAATTATTTTTATCACACTTAGTAATTTCACTTATAGTTAATCAAGGTAACTATAATATCATAAGCTACGATTCGATAATTTATACTCAACTTTGAAAAGGTTATCCCAAATGTTTCTTCTCTTGTACTCTGATAGAACTTCAGTTTAGTTCGATAGACCTAAAAAATTCCTGTGAAATACATGAGTTTTTTCGAATGAATTATAATTGACGTAGGCATATGTTGTGAAATTTATCTTAAAATAAAATTCCCATTTTAATTAACACAGTATTAGGTGAATACTTTAAATAACTCTAATACAATCGTCACACATTACTTGTGTGTGGGAACTAATATAGTTAAAAATCAAAAATAGCTTAAACCTCTTTGTAAGGACTGTTTCTAAACATCTAATTGTTTAGTGCTAACAGATTTTTATTATAGTTAGTTATGATATGGTTTCTACTTTCATACGTTCATAATCCTCATTCAAATCTAGGTTATTCAATGTGCTAATTTTCTTACGAAATTTACAAGCAAAATTTTTTAAAGTTATTGGAAGTGCTTTTTTTCTGCCAAACAACTCTTAGAAGTTTGGTGAATATGGAACTTTTCAAGTCACGAATTTGTGATATTTTCACCGCGCGAAAAACTTAAATATGATCGTTTGAACTTATATGTCTAATAACTGAACCGAATAGCAACAACAACAAATATCACTACAAATATCCATGCGTTTTCTAACTGTATTATTTATCATCAAATCAGATCTATAATCTTTGTTCAGTTTCTTAATCGTTATTGACTGAGTTAATCAAATAATAGGAGTGTAGATTTTTGTTTATTAGTTTTTACTGTCAAAATATGGTTACTTGTCCACTATATAAACAAATAATGAAAGGATTTGTAGAGTTAATAAAGTTTTCGTTGTTTTAAACCGCGGATTGATCTTAGTTATTGAGAGGCTGTAATCAATGGAGTTTAACGATGTCGGATGTGAAACAATCATCTACCTTCTTAGTTGAAATTAGACATGTACACTATTTGATCCCTGCTCAATGGCTTAAAGTGTTCGGATCCAATACCGAGGTTTCTAAGTTGGATTACCAGGTACAGGGTCGCTAATAAGCACTGCTAAGAAGTCCCGTATTAGAACAAGACAACCGTCCAGTGCTTTCAGGTTTTCTATGTTTATCTAAATAAGATCGGTTCGTGATTGCAAAATGAAAATAGAAATAAAATTCAATAAGTGTAGATTATTCTCTAAACTGGGTTGCTCTTTATCAGTTCGTTGTTTTCAGTGATAATTTAACTATGTTTTTTACTGTTTGTGCTTTCTTTTGTTTTCAGATATTAAAACTTCCACTAAATTATTTTCAGTGATGAAAATGACAACTTTAAGTTAGCATTTACTTTTCACTTGTTGTTTTTATGTATTAGGTTAGTAACTGAATGGTCATCGTGTTTCTCTGCTCCTTATTGTTGTCTTCCATAACCTTTTTTGTTTGTTGATCTTGTTCAAAAAAGTTTCTTTCCAAGCTTGGATGTGTTTGTTGTAATGGAGTTCTATTCTGTGCGTGAATATATACATATGCTTACATTTAACATAACGATTTCGCTTTACCTTATTTATGCAGACTTTAGAACTGGATTCACGTCGTCCTCATCCTAATCGACCTAAAAGACCTCATCCACGTACCGATTCCGCTCATTCTCATTCACCGTCTCCGTTATTATCCAACGACCAAAATTTATTACCAACAACCACAGCTTTCAATCAGTCGATAACTGACCTGTGTTCTAGAAATGATCTGTCCCATATTAATGGTCACCAAACATTAGATAATGGTTCAACCGTTTATGCTGAAGTTAACGATGCCTTCGTTTACAAAACACTTCCTCATTGTTCTTCATCAGGTTTCATTCCTACCAAACTATCCTCACTTGTAGATCATTATGAATTAACAGATTCTGTACAGCAACTTAATAATTTAACTTTGTATCCGAATCTTTCAAATTCTCCGTACACCTCCAAAATCCGTGATAATACTCATGTAAATGGTAAGTCTTCTAAACCCTAACATTTTACTGTTGTCCAGTTCGTGTGTAATTAGTGTATTAAACCTTTTTTCTATAACATTAAGTGATTCTAGACATCAAAAAGCAAAACATATTTCCTGTCTTTTTATATTTTAAAGAGCTCTACAGTTAAAAATATGGCACCACCCTTTTATTTATTAATAAACGTTCAGAACTCTGATCCAAACATAAAAGAAAAGACTGGTTTATACATAACATTTCGTAGTTAGTCTTTCGATACTATATGTAAACCATTATATAAATACTTCAAAATTGACATCGGTAAACATCATCACATACAAAATCCGAAATGCTAAAAAATGTACAGTTCACCTATTCCTTTGGACCAAGGTACATGAGCTGCGTGTAGTTAGTACCCGCTTTCATCACGAACATAAGAAGATATTCCCCTTGGTTCTACAAATATGAAAGGAGGATGACTAGTAGTTCTGTCCTTGATCGTAATTATTTAACCAATCTACATTGATTTTAATATTACTTTTAAAATCCTTCTTTACAGAATCAAAATCTTAAAGTTTTCATGAATATGATTATATATCTTGATGATAGATTCGTTGGAAAGAAATCTCTTCATTCAATTTTGTTTTCAATGTTCTTATATGAATTATAAAATTACGGATATTGATGTTGGACTCAGGAAAACTCATAACATTGTTCAAACCTACATTGTATTATCTCGACTCATTTTCTTAAGACTTTCTCAACTGGGTTCATTTCTCGAATTAACTACATGCCTCAGTTTGAGAAACGCTATTCATTAATATTTAACAGCTGATATGTACTCAGAAAGATGTCGTTTATAGGATTGATATCCCTTTCATTTGTTTTTATACTTTACTAGTGGAATAGAAAATAATTAAGCTCCACTATTTGTATCATTAATTAAATAGTCGATAGTTTCTGCTTAATTGCATCTGACACGAACTCTAGTTATTTCACACGGCTTTCTTTCATAGCTTGCTCCAGTCCTGTATCCCACTTCCTTCTTGTTACTAGCACTTCAATATGATATCGTGTCTCAGAGATTTCGCAAACAGTATTTTAATCACGATTTCTCTAACATTATAACCGAATTTTTTATTTTAAGGGTTGTGACTTCTGTTTTTTCCAGTATCATTACAGAGATATTATTTGAAACACAAAATAAGTGAAGAAATATTTCTCTTCACTTAGTTCCTTATTAAGGTTCCATAATAATATGTAAGTTTTACAGTTAAGAATAAAATCAATACCAATTAAATGGTGATTGGTCACCTTAACGATTTTTTCTTTTAAACTAATCAGTTAAAAGCTCATTAAATGTGATTCTTTCTTTCCTTTGTCACTACTAAAATTCAGGCTCCCTTGTTTTAAATAATACACGCGAAATGTGCCATTCAAATTCATCGCGCGTGAATCCATTGTCGAATATCTTTTCGCAATGTAAAGCTTCTGCTGATGCTTCCTTTGGAAGAACTAGCTTGCAGTTTAATCCGAGACATACAAACTTACCAGCTCTGCCTTCGAACGAGATTTCAACCTCCATATCAACTCATTCAGATTCAAATTTCTCGTCGCTTCCATTTTTTTGTATGCCTACTCAAGCGACACGTTCCGTTTTATGCCCCTCTTATTCCAACAGTTGTTCCACCCCATTATGTTCTTGGTCTACATGTAGACAGCACGCGGTAAATTTCAGTAGATTTTCGAGAGTACCAAATGTTTCGGCTTCTGGCTTGCAGTGTGCTCCAAATACTTCTCCCCTCAAATCTTCTACGTTTCTTGGACATGTGATGCCCACAGAAGTCCCGTGCGAATCTCTCCCTGTTTCTCAGTTGAACCAAAAAGTAGGATTTTCTGAATATTTTTAATTGTTATTCCATACCTTTGTAAATCGAGCGTGTTGTGAAAAAGCCGTTTGGTTCATATAAGCGATGTAGACGCCCAATTTAAGTTGTAGTTTCTGATACTAAAATTTACTCTTAAAAGGATACTAAAAGTCTTTTGTATTTTTATCCATCTCTTTAAGTTCATTTATTTGAGAACTGTCTTCAGCCACTACACAGATGTGGTTCGTCCAATCGTACATTATTAAGTCGTATCTATTTGTTTAATTTTTATCTAACGAGCGTATGATATTATTTAAAATAATTTGAAACTTCTTTGGAACAGCTTTTCTGCAATATGCTAGAAAGGTCATTCCCTCAATTTTATTTGGGTAAAACCTTCATTTTCAAGTGAACTGACTCAGTTTTTAAAAATAAAATAAAGGTTTCCGGAAATATCAGAAAGTGGTTTGTGGATATTATAGTAATATTAGTAGTTGAGATCATGAGTCAATTGAAGCTAAACCACCATAGAAAACCTGGAAGCACTAGATCGTCGTTTCGTCTTACTGTTTGACTCAGCAGTGCGCATCCACGATACCGCCCCGCGACATTCGAACCCAGGACCTATCAGTCCTGAGTTTAAATATTAAAATGTTCATTTTAGAAAAAAATCAGTAAATTAACACTACAATTTGTTGTCGTACTTTGACTTTTTCAAAGACTAACGTGATTAAGATTATGTTAGATTCGATCCAAAAATTTCAAATGAGCTTAAGTGACGTGTTTTTTTTTAAAAAAAAACTACGTCATTTTACTGAAGTATAGAATATTAGTGCCGATGGGTAATTTTTTTCGATAATTTATTCTGTATATTCACTTTAACTTTTAAGTACATTCAAAATAAGTTCTCAATTCAAATTATTCCTACTTATAATGATTGTATGTCCTCTTACGTACTTACTTACCTACGCCTGTTACTCCTCGTGAAGGAGCATAGGCCACTCACCAGCATTCTCCATCCAACCCTGTCCTGGGCAATCCTTTCCAGCTCCGTCCAGTTGTAATTCATCCTTTTCATATCTGCTTCTATTATCCGACGCAATGTGTTCTTTGGCCTTCCTCTTTTTCGCTTCCCTTCAGGGTTCCAAGTTAGGGCTTGCCTCGTGATGCAGTTTGACGATTTGCGTAATGTATGTCCTATCCATTTCCATCGTCTTTTCCTAATTTCTTCTTCAGCTGGAAGTTGGTTTGTTCTCTCCCACAGAAGGCTATTGCTGATGGTATCCGGCCAGTGGATGTTGAGTATCTTGCGTAGGCAGCTATTTATAAATACTTGTACTTTCTTGATTGTGGTTGTTGTAGTTCTCCAAGTTTCAGCTCCATACAGTAGAACTGCCTTGACGTTCGTATTGAAGATTCTCACTTTGATATTGGTTGAAAGTTGTTTTGAGTTCCATATGTTCTTCAATTGTAGGAATGCGACCCTTGCTTTGCCGATCCTCGCCTTTACGTCTGCATCTGAACCTCCTTGTTCATCGATGATGCTTCCCAGGTATGTGAAGGACTCTACATCTTCCAGAGTTTCGCCATCAAGAGTGATTGGATTGCTGTTCTCCGCTTGAATTTGAGGACCTTGGTTTTCCCTTTGTGTATGCTGAGGCCTACTGATGCAGAGACTGCTGCTACACTGGCTGTCTTCATCTGCATCTGTTCGTGTGTACGTGATAGGAGGGCTAGGTCGTCTGCGAAGTCCAAATCGTCTAATTGATTCTGAGCTGTCCATTGTATTCCGTGTTTTCCTTCAGATGTTGAGGTCTTCATAATCCAGTCGACCACCAGAAGAAAGAGGAAGGGAGAGAGTAAACAGCCTTGTCTGACTCCAGTCCTTACTTGGAATGCATCTGTCAGCTGTCCTCCATGCACTACTTTGCACTGTAGTCCGTCGTATGAGTTCCGGATAATGTTGACAATCTTCTCAGGAACTCCGTAGTGTCGAAGAAGTTTCCATAATGTCCTCCTATCTACACTGTCGAATGCCTTTTCATAATCAATGAAGTTGATGTATAGTGATGAGTTCCACTCAACTGATTGTTCGACGATGATCCGTAGTGTTGCAATTTGGTCTGTGCACGACCGATCCTTACGGAATCCAGCTTGTTGATCTCGAAGTTGGGCGTCTACTGCATCCTTCATCCGGTTCAGCAACACTCTGTTGAAGACTTTCCCTGGTATTGACAGTAGTGTAATGCCTCTGTAGTTTTCACATTTGCTCAGATCTCCTTTCTTTGGAATCTTGACGAGGTGTCCTTCTTTCCAGTCCATCGGCACTTGTTCCTCCTCCCAAATCTTTTTGAATAGAAGGTGAAGCATGCTTGTGGTTGCTTCGATGTCTGATTTCAGTGCTTCAGCTGGTATGTTGTCGGGTCCTGCTGCTTTCCCGTTCTTGATTTGTCTGACGGCCATTCTAATTTCTTCCGTCGTTGGTGGGTTGACATCTATAGGAAGATCTATGTGTGCTGCTTCGATGTCCGGTGGATTCATTGGAGCCGGCCTATTCAGGAGTTCCTCGAAGTATTCCACCCATCTGTTACGCTGTTGTTGAATTTCGGTGATTGGCTTGCCTTCTTTGTCTTTGACCGGCCTCTCTGGTTTACTGTATTTCCCTGCTAGTTTCTTCGTTGTATCGTGAAGCTGTTTCATATTTCCTTCTCTAGCAGCTTTTTCTGCCGTCGTTGCTAGTTCTTCCACGTATTTCTTCTTGTCGGCTCTAATGCTCCTCTTCACTTGTTTGTTTGCTTCTATGTATTCAGCTTGTGCTTGGACTTTCTCTGCTCGTGTTCGGCTGTTGTTAATTGCTGCCTTCTTGTTCTTCCTTTCTTTGATCTTGTCCAGTGTTTCTATAGAGATCCATTCCTTATGATGGTGTTTCTTTAGGCCCAGAACCTCTTGACACGTTGAAGTTAATGCTTCCTTGATGCCTTTCCAGTTGTCCTCCATAGTAGTTTCTTCTTCTTTCAGTAGATCTTGTAAGGCTTGGAACCTGTTGTTGAGAGCTATCTTGAATTCATTGAGTTTGTCAGTATCTCGAAGGAAGGCTGTATTGAACCTTTGTAGTGCTGTTTGTCCACTTGTCCAGTTCTTTTTTAGCTTCAGTTTTAAATTGGCTACAACTAGGTGGTGATCTGAAGCTACGTCAGCACCTCTCCTGGTTCTCACATCTTCCATTGTCCTTCGGAATTTTTTGTTGATGCAAATATGATCTATTTGGTTCTCTGTAGTGTGGTCCGGTGAGATCCATGTAGCCTTGTGTATACGCTTGTGTGGAAATATTGTGCCTCCTATGACCAATTTGTTGAATGCACACAAATTTGCAAATCTTTCTCCATTTTCGTTTCTTTCTCCCAGTCCATGTCGTCCCATAATATCTTCATATCCAGTGTTGTCTATTCCGACTTTGGCATTTAGATCTCCCATCAGAATAGTTAGGTCCTTTCTTCGGCATTTCTCAATGATTGACTGCAGCCGCTCGTAGAACTGATCTTTAATGTCGTCGTTGCTATCATTGGTGGGTGCATAACATTGGATAATATTCATTAAGATCCCCTCCTTCTTTGTTTTGAATGATGCTTTGATGATTCTGGATCCGTGAGACTCCCATCCTACAAGTGCATTTCGTGCTACTTTGGACAGCATAAGAGCGACTCCCTGAGTGTGTGGAGCATTTTCCTCTTCGTGACCGGAGTATAGCAGCATCTCTCCCGTAGCTAGCCTTTTCTGTCCAGCTTGGGTCCAGTGGGTTTCGCTGATTCCCAGTACTGCTAAGTTGTATCTCCTCATTTCCATTGCTATTTGACTGGTCTTCCCGGTTTCCCACATTGTTCGAACGTTCCATGTACCTATAAAAATTTTTGCTCTGGTTGTTAGAAGGGGCATCGGCCTCGTGGCTTCCGAAGGAACTCGGCTTTCACCATGAAGCGTCATAATTCTTCTAACTGAAGACCTTCTAACTCCCAGGGCAGAGTTTAAATGGTTTGGATTATTTTTTCTGGTAAGCGTTTTTTTAGCGAGTTAGTTTTCTACGGGATGGGGACGCTAACCCCATGCCCAACCCTCCTCCTTTATCCGGGCTTGGGACCGGCAGTAACCCTGTTAGAGCTACAGGCGGAGTTTCCTCTTACGTATAACAATAATAATAATAATAATAATAATAATAATAATAATAATAATAATAATAATAATAATAATAATAATAAAGATTAGTTTTATTAAAGTTCTTGAAATAATTGTTGTTTTTTTTTTAGAAAAAATTGACTTATGTTGTTGATTCGGCTGTCACTAACATATCACCTGTTACATCCGACTTGTCAAATAATCGAAAACGATTTCCACGGAATATTTTATCCAGTGCTATAAAGCGATATAATATTTGGTCACGATATATGTTGAACAATAGTCATAACTCAAGTAAGTTATTAACATGTATTCCTGATAAATATACTTTCCAATATTCTTTTAATCTCATTCTCTACTGTTATGCATGTCTGTTGATTGGTTAAGTTAATAAAGTATTTCAAAAATACTTGTACTTTACTTATCTCAGTCAATAAATGTAAGTTTTTATGGTTTAGATTTAACATTTCTTAAATCATTTTACTTTTGCTCTTCTTCGAATCAATTTATAGCCTTAAAACTGATTAGAGATTTACAGTAAGAGCGAGTCCTAGTTAGCTGAGTTGTGTTACGATGTGTGATGATCAAATGTTATTGTGCTTGCTTCTTGTGCTTGGTGAATCCAACCTTGCTATGTGAATGAGAATACTAAGAATGACAGGCAGGCCTCATTAGCGAATTGAATGGTAATGTACACATATGTGTCCGAACTTCGCGGAATAACCGTTTCTTGCTTAATTATCTCTCAACTATATCTTGACACAGTATATAATTATAGGCATGTGACTTGTCTTGTTTCTCTCAAACTATGACTTCCCTCTTCTAAAAAACAGGTCTGCCTCCTTATTTGCAATCATCCATCAGAATTAACTGAATCAATTAAGCACATTAAACTTCACTACACATTTTCAAAACGATGATATATACATTCACTTTTTTTCATTGAGAGCTTTGGGATGGTCCATAATTTTGTCATCAGTAAAATGGAAATCTATATTCAGATCAAAACGATTCAGGAGTACTAGTTGGTTCCACCTTCTGCTAAACAACAAGTAGAATTTGGTTGCAATGTCACTCAAACCTTACATTCGTTTTCTTAAAATAAAACAATCATGCTAATACAAGCATATCCAGTAACACTGTTAAGCCTCTCAACTAATATGATTCCTATAAATTGAGTTACAGTTGTTTCTACAACTTAATAGAGTCACTTAGTAGAACTATGCTTAAAATAGAATTCTAATTACTAAAATGTGTCATTTTGATGAACAAGTTTATGAATTTTATATTTCCTTTTATTTCTAAATGATTATCTATATCCGGATTAATTCTGCTTATTGTTTCAGTTCATAAGTCCATTATATTAACTGCACATTGCATCAACCTCAGTCTAATTTACTGCCTTTTTAATTCGGATTTCAGAAACTTAACGATGCATTCAAACAACATCTACTGGAATTTGTTCATGTTAACAAATACTGTGTTCTAACCAAATATTCTTCATTAGATTGTATAATGATGAAATGACTTCGTCGTAATTATCATCGTCTATAGATCAGATTGGTCTTTTTAACGAATTTATTATTGTATTATAATATGAGTTTTTAATGCCAGAATTATTCTCATTATATTACGAGATAACTTTATATGATCATATTACTTAATCTATTTTTTTATTATGTATACTTATTAATGACACTTTTCACGTGTCACCTTATATTCTATGTTAACATCAATATTGTTAACAATATTGCTAAATCACTTCATGTATTATCTATTCTTTCACTTTTATTCCCATTGCAAAGTAATCTTTTCAACACATTAGGAAATAATTAATTTTAAATAAACTATTTTGCGATTTTTTCTTATTCAACAACAATAATCGTTCACTTATCACTAAATTAAGTCTAACATATGCTAATACATATATAAACACGCAAGTTTATTTCTTTAGAAAACCAGACTGAAGTAGGAACATTTGAATTTTGCAAATTATTCTAAAATACCACAACTAAATAATGGATTTATTAAACAATATGAATATAAGTAATGAAAACAAGCACACTCTACAGTAGTAGTTAAATTTGAAAAAACGATGTGCGCTTAAAAACGCCATACTGGTATTGTTCCCACACTCCACATGTCTTCTGCCTCAGTAAGGATTATTTAATCAACCAGAAGCCTACCTGACAACACTACTACCGCCGGGCTTATTGACAGTGATATGAAATCGTTCATTGGCACACTTAAAACCTCTTCCTAACGACGATCTTATTCCATTTATACTCTCTGTTTTCACCCATTATCGGGGTATCTCAAATTTCCTTGATCTACCATTGTACTCCAACAAAAATGCGCACTCACACACAAACTATCAGAGGAAAAACGGTCGCAGTAATCAACTCTCTCCGATCACTTCTCTGTCGGATAACACACAATCATCGTAACACATGTAGACCTAGTAGAGATAAAGTTGTTATCGTTGCTGAGCAAACGACCAGCAATCTGAATAAAATTTCACCCTATTGTTAGATAATTAGAAGTCGGGAGAAAAAATTGCTTGTCAAAAAGGCATTTGTATCACCAATAGTTAAGTTATTACACTGCCAAAGAAGAGATCAAACCAATAAGGTGATCGGGATAATTACGGTAGACATCAATAATGATAGTTTTATTAGAGGTGGAAACATTAGTGCTGGCGGTTCCGTTGTTCTGTTTCGTCATGAGGCGACTCACTACTGAGAATGTGTATATAAGTAGTATGAATGGTTGCATGCACTGTGTATGGAAAGTGTTGCTGAGCAGTGTTGTTCGACGTTGATGCAGTTGATAATGTCGATTTTGGTGTGTATGTTGATGTTGGGTGTGTGTGTTTGTGGAATGGTGCTGTTCAGTGTGGTGTTTGTGTATGTGGCGGTGTTTGATGTGCAAATGGATGGCTGATGGTTTTGTTTGAGTGGCATGGTGGGGACGTGTTGACTGGGCTTGTCTGGTTGACTTTGCGCAGTGGCGGTACCGTAGCCAATGAAGTTTATCTGAGGCGCGGTTATTGCTAGTTGAAAACTACTCCCAATACCCCGCACCGATGGCGTGAAATATCGTTGTCGGATGCAATTTTTTCTAGGCCGTATCTGGCCCATTC